AATTATTTGGCTTACAATAACTTTACAGAAATTTTAAAATAACTGATGGTAAAAAATAATTTACTTTTGTAATATATATTGTTTATTAGACCGTTTATTTATACTTTTTACAAATTATATTTTTATCAGTCAACTGAATTAAAATATTTATTTACTAACAATTAAAATTTCAACAACATTACTATATTATGTTTTGACATAAATGGATTCAGAAATTTAAATTTCAAATCGTTATTAAACTAATTAGATATGTTTTTATGAATCAACCCTAACTTTCTTTATATATAGTCAAGAATTTTTATAAATCGTGTATATTAAACCCAAATCTAAAATACTATACTATCATCATATATTCATTTAAAGTAATTAAAAAAAACTATTTCAAATACATATATGCACACTGTAAAAATGTATTGATTAATACTTTATGCCATTCAAATAGAACACTAGATAAAATTATAATAAAGATATATTCAACAGTGTAGTAATATTTAGCATGCATCAAACATTCTATATATTTTTCAAAAATTATGATTAGTACACAATAGAAATATCGTTTCAAATACTCTTATAAATTTGCTTATACAAACGAAAACATTTAAATATGAGTTATTGAAGAGTATAATTGTATAAACCTAAATAGGAAAAATAACAAATCATACATTTAAATAAAATTGGATAGAAAAAAAATATACCTTATTTATTTTTATGATTTTATAACTAGATAGAAAACTAATTATTTAAAATTAATTTCCTGAGTTTGTTGCAAACGTCGAAGTTTATGGCTTTGGTTGATACTTTGTCAACGCATTCGCCTGATAAGGAGTATATAGGGGAGAGACAACAACCGTCGACTTGGACTGGAGATGCGGAGATTGTTGATGCGTTTTATGGATTAGCGGCGGAGATGGGACGGATAGAAAAAGAGATTGAGAAAAGAAACCGTGATCCTAAACGTAGAAACAGGTGTGGAGGTGGTGTTTTGCCTTATGAGTGGTTGGTTCCGAGTTCTGACCAGGTGTTACGTGTAGAAGTGTACAAATGTAGGAGAAAAGGTAGAAATTGGTATATATAATTTTTGAACATGAAATAAAATATATAAATTGGTACATTTGAATTTTGCAGATATGTTTTCGAAGTTAGATTCAAATTCATGTTCTTAATATTATGAGGTATATTCAGACAATGGATTTATACATGTGAAGTTAATTATAGCCAAAGAAGATCCGAAAGAATACTAAATTTGAAAATAAAAAATACTAAAAAAAGAAAAAAAAAATACTTTTTTTTTTGGTAACCGAGTATCTTGATCCTACCGTGATGGTCCAAACTAGAGACCGAAGTGAGCATGAACTCGAAGATCATTAGGTGGCTCACCGTATAACGATCTTCGGTCTCGGATACTGTAGTCCATATATAAATTCCGCAGTGATCATCGAATCTAGGAGCGAACACTCCAACTAGAACTCGTTTACTACTAGACCAAAACAATTTGATTTTAAAAAACTTCAAAGTGACAATTTGCTTTACGTTGCGACGATGGATGATGATGGATCGTTATTTGGGCTCATATTATAGATAACTTCAAAGATTTGCGCTCATATTATAGATAACTTCAAAGTGGTTCTGTTTCAACCTTAACTTGGACCTGAAATGCACGACTTCTTGGGTTTTGACCTAACTTGGTCGCACACTATCTCCTCATACTTATAAAGGATATATTTGTACCTTTTCATCTAGGAAATCAAGACAGATCGAGATATACACTCAAGAGCAAGACAAGGTTTGTTCTTATGATTTTAACCTAATCTGGACTCAGGAGATCATTTCATTGGTTCTGATTGGTAGCTAGATACATAGGAAATCTAAGTTGGCTAGAAGAAATCCAAGTTACAAATAGGACCCATCTTTGAGATTTTGAGGGTCCAAACAATTTTTTTAAAATTTCAGTTATTTTTTTTTTCAAATTAATTTGGTGTACTAAAAAATTATTTTTCTGGAAATTTATGTATTATATATATAACTATAAATTTTCAGAGACCTAAAATGAATGTTTGAACAAGCTTGGTCCAGGACTGGCTCTAGTACAAAATGACTGTTGTGTTTGGTTGATTCTGATCCAAAGATCTATAATCATCAACTTATTAGTATTTATCCGACCAGAAGCCAACGGCTTTGGGGTCCGATTGTATCTGACTTTCAAGACTGTTACTGTTAGGACTTTTAATTTTAGTTTGGCTGTTAAAATTTTTAAATTTAAAAACTAAAATTGGCTTCAGAAATATTTAAAAGTCTGAAATTGTGGCTTTGAAAATATAAGTCACGTTAAAAAGTAAAGTTAGTTATTTTGGCTGTGAGATTTTTTAGGAAGGTTTTTAGGACTTTAAAGTTTAAAGTCTGATTGGAATAAATTTGGTTTTAAAGACTTTACAAATAATTTAAAGCCTCCAAAGTCTCTACAGCTAAAACAACAATCGGACCCTTAATCGAGTTCAGCTAGTTAGCGACGGTTTGACAAAAAAAAAAAAAAAGCTAGTTAGTGACGTAGAGAAGAAGACATACATAAGACCATGTTTATTGCAGGTCCTTTAAGTTGGGTCCCTTAGCGTACAGTCCCTTAGCTTTTAACTGAAAACGCTAAGGGACGTCCCTTAAATCCCTTATATAAGGGACGTCCCTTAGCGTTTTCTATTAAAAACTAAGGAACTGTACGTTAAGAGACCCATTTTAAGGGACCTGCAATAATCATGCTCTAAGTACAATTGTACATAAGTACATGTGTGGACCAAGTAGCTCTCACGCGAGGAATCAACAATAGAAACAGAAGACATGCATTCTTTACAAACCTGTAATAATTAGCCCAAATTAATTTTTCTTCTATTTTCGTATTTTTCTTTAAATTTTAGCGTTTGATTTGTTTATACATGTTCTAAATAATCAACAGAACGAAAACAGAGCACATGGCAACTAGGATCCTAATCCTGAATTTAGATGTCGAAACACTTAACATGCAACTTAGCCACGTTCCAAGTCGATTATATAAAACTAAACCGGAAATAACCGAACCGGTGTAGAAACATTTCAAATTTAAAAGCACTCTCTCACACCACACCACTTCCTCTACACTAAAAAAGATGGCGTCCATGAAACTCGTTCATCTCTTTCGTCGTCACCTCACCATCGCTCTCACTCTCTTTCAAAGCCTAATCTCATGTCTCTTCAACTTCCCGATACTTATCAAGATCGCCGATTCGTTCTTATCACTGTATTTCTTATATTTCTGCGATCTCCGACCCGTAACGGTCGATCTAGACGACGGAGAAACCACAGTCCATTTCTGGATCTCCGGCCACCGAAGAATCTCACGTCCGAATCTCGTCATGCTGCACGGATACGGAGGAAACTCCAAATGGCAATTCGTTCATCAAGTCTCCGATCTCTCGAAGTCCTTTAACCTATTCATCCCCGATTTGGTGTTCTTCGGGAAATCATACACGAAGAACGCAGATCGGAGCGTTGAGATTCAGGCGAGGAGCATCGTCGGAGGGTTGAAGAAACTAGGCTGCGATGGAAGAGGAAGGGGGAGGATCTCGGTGTATTCGATTAGCTACGGTGGGTTTGTGGCGTATAAAATGGCGGAGATGTGGCCGGAGATGATGGAGAAGCTGGTGATCGTGAGCAGTGGAGTGGGATTTACACAGGAGCAGAAGACGGCGGAGATGAGAAAACATGGTGGAGATTGTTGTTCGAAGATGCTTGTTCCGAAAACTCCTATGGATCTACGGATGTTGGTTAAGATTTCGACTAACACCGGTTTAATGTACGTGGATTGGATACCAGATTTTATCCTTTCCCAATTCATAGCTGTAAGTATTTTTTTTTACTTTTCTGTTTATTTCTTAACTAAATGAACGAAATAGTTTGAAATTTGACATGTTTTTTGTTACAGGTAATGTATGAGAAAAATAGGCAGAAGCTTCTTGAACTAGCTAAGAACTTGTTGGAAAGAGAAGAAGCAGAGTTGCCCGTAATATCACAGGTAATAAATTTTCACTGAATCAACTAACCTTGATTATCCAAAAAAGATTATTAGTGATTTAATTGCTTTTTAGAAAGACCTAGCCAATGACAAAACTTTAGCATCGAGATAAATATTAATGATTGATGGATAGTTATTTTATAAAAAAAGAAAATAATTTATGTTTTAGTCTGTGAGTAAAGTATAGTGGAAACACTATTCTTGTTTGTTTGTCTTTCACTTTCCTTTTGTTGTTTATAGAAGACGATGTGGATCAAGAATCTTTACTCGAATCTTACTAATAAATAAAACAAAATTGGTCACTAATTTGATATCATATTTCAGAAAACGTTAATCGTTTGGGGAGACAAGGACAAGGTATTTCCCTTGGAGCATGGCTATCGACTGCAAAGGTAAACGCATTATCGAATCATATAGCCGTTGAGAGGCATAAATCAAAATTTGTTTTTCCTTAACAACTTTGTGGGGAAAAAATCATATTTGTATATATCTTTTCGCAGGCATCTTCAAAATTCAAGATTAGAGATAATCAAAGAAACTGGACATGCTGTTAATGTTGAAGCACCAACTACTCTTAATAATTTGATTACTTCGTTTGTCTTAAGCGTTTGATCGTTAATTTTCTTTATCTGTCTATACCAACTATCTATATGTCACTTGGTTTTTATATATTTGTCGTTATCGTTTAAACATCAAATGCATTAAAATTAGGAAAACATACATGAAACTCACTGAAGTATTCAAACTTTCAGTAAAAGGTTTTGGGCGTTTTCCAAACTCCTCAAGAGCCCAGAGTACTTAACGCCACAAGGCCCACTAAAGGCCTAAAGCTTCCAGAATTAGCGGGAAAATCGGAAGGGTTGTTCTCTTAGCACCTATATATAATACATAACTGGAAAAATATCCTCAATCTCTCAATTTCATCTTGTTACTTTTTTTTATTCACCGCCTGAATCGCTGAATGGGGATCGCGTCATCCATCCAATTTCCGCCGCCAAAACCGGAGCAAGAGAAACCAGAAGATTATAGTGATTGGCCATATTCGGTGAGAACCAACGGAGATTTGTTGATAAAGAAGATCTATGGCTTGTTCCCACCGAGAGAGGGAGAAGCATCAACTGATGAAGAAGCCGCAGAAGCTAGGTATTGCGAGTTCATGAGAGGAGGCGGTTGCAAAGATGTTTTTAATGCTCTGGAAGATTGTGAAGGACCTCGTAGCGCTAAGTGTAAGGAGATGGCCGGGATGCTGTTCAATTGTATGTATTCTCACTCTGATTACTATCAACCGGTTATCGCTGTGTGGGAAACTTTTTACGAACAGTTAGCCAAGGACCTCGAGGTCTTTCATGCGAAGAAACAAAGAGAGGAGAGCTTTGAGAAAGCTTATCTCTTTAAGGGCTTTAAGAGATTCTAAGGGTTTTTTTAGAGAAAAATATGTGTTTCAATAGTAGCATCTGCTTAAGATTTATACTAGAATTTGTTTTCACTTCAATTTGATAATGTTATCAGCCCTCATGGATGGCCATATGATATTACTTAACTTTTTTAAAAAATATATATATATATGTGAAAAACTGGTATATACATTATTTAAAAAATAAAAATAATAACATTATTTAAAGTTTGTATTAGTCTATTTAAAAAATAAAAATAATAACATTATTTAAAGTTTGTATTGGTCTATTTAAAAAATAAAAATAATAACATTATTTAAAGTTATAAAATAATAGACATTTTCAAGATGAACCGTTTTCAGAGAAAAGTAGTGGGCCTATTAGCTAAACTCATCAACAGCCCAGGAAAATTCAATCTCTTAGCCCACTAAAGCCCTAAAGGCTTCCAGAATATGGCTTGTAACAAAGTCGGCAGGTAGACCGAATAAAATCTATGCAGAAAATTCTCAAACTCTTAGCATACATTGTTCTCCTCTTCTGATTGAATCACCGCCGATTCCATAGAATCCAATCTCAAAGAATGGGAATAGCGTCATCCATCCAATTTCCTCCGGCAAAACCGGAGCAAGAGAAACCGGATGATTATAGTGATTTGCCATATCCGGTGAGAGCTAATGGAGATTTGTTGATAAAGAACATGTTTGGCTTGTTCGGGGGAGAATCATCAAGTGATGAAGCCGCAGAGGCTAGGTATTACGAGTTCATGAGAGGAGGTGGTTGCAAGGATGTTGTTAACGCTCTAGAACATTGTGAAGGACCTCGTAGCACTAAGTGTAAACAAATCGCGGGGATGCTGTTCAATTGTATGTATTCTCATCCTGATTACTATCAACCGGTTATAGCTGTGTTGGAAACTTTTTACAAACAGTTAGGTAAGGACCTCGACGTCTTTCATGCGAAGAAACAAAGAGAGGAGAGCTTTGAGAAAACTCAGCTCTTTAAGGGCTTTAAGCGATTCTAAGTTTTTTTTTTAGAAAAAAATATATATATTTGATTTCAGTAGTAGCATTAATAGTTTTTTTCTTTGTTAATTTTGTTGATGTCCATGAATGTTCTTTAGCTATTTCCTCACTTGAATGTGATATGTTGCTTCTGAAACAAGTTAGACCTTTATTAAATGATTTAGTTTTCGTACTTCATTTTGAGGATTCTACTATAGCATGCACCTAATGATCCCACAATAAAATAAATTGAAATTTGAAAGATACAATTTAGCCTACCATTGCAAGTCGCTTCTCGTGGAGATCAGTTGGTATCTGCAAAGTGTTAAACTTGAGATAAATATCTAGCAGAAGGTTTTTTGTTTTGTTTTGAGTTATGGAATCAACAGATTCAACGGATATTATTATCTTCATGGATAGTAATCACTTAAGGTTTTTTGCTTGGTGTTCATCCTCACTTGAGAATCCAGGAATTGTCGACAATTTTTGCTGTGCGTAAATTATAAACCAGAGAACATCAAAATGAGTAACAATAACAGCCACCCACAATCCACACGAAACAGAGCTCAAGATGTACAGACCTTTGGTGGAGTAATATATCCTTGGGCTCTAATATGGATGAAGCTACATGAAAATGAAGTCACCTGCAAATCAAGCATTATCAAATCAAAGAAGTCTGATGTAACTATTGATTTAGTTTATTGAATCTGGTTTAGTTTATTGATTTTGATTTTCATTATTGCTTCAGAATCTTTGTAATTTTATAAGTTTGGCTGTTTTTGACTTGAACAAGGTAATTGATTACTCTCCGTTTTTGAATGTTGCAGACATATATGTTCAAGTAAGATAGTGTTCATGGTCAGTGGGAATACCATGAACTCAAGGTTACGGATGGTTATCTTTTCTCCGTCTATATATATATCTGATATCTGCAAGATACCAGCAACAACTACCTTCTGTGTATGTCAATTGTCAAACGTTGCTAGTAAATTTCTTATTTGCTGCAGATTTATAGATAGGAAAAATTCCATAAAATTATTCCAACTGATTTCCATTAACTTTTTTTTATACCCAACCTTTTTTTGCTAACCAATTTAATATTTCAACTAATTATTTTACTCATCGTAACACACAAACTTTTAAAACTGTGCTCCTTTTAATATTTAACTTTTGTTTATTTTTATATAATAAGATACTAATAAGTTTGAACAAAATTTAAAAATCTCCAAAATCTGAGAAACAATATGAAAAATTTCTAATTTCATTTTAAGATTTAGGAAAGAAAGTAAATAAACTATGAAGAAAATAAAAAAAATTAAATTGTAAAAAATTAATTTTAAGGAAATAAAAAGATTTTTTTTTAATTTCATAAAACAACTAAATTCCATGTTTTAAACTTAAAATTTTTATTAAAAAATTTAATATCATACACAATTTAGCTACTTTTTTTCCCAAATAAAAAAAAATACGATTAGATTTTCTGAAATTTGTTTGTAAATTTGAGAGATTTTTTAAAATATTTATTAGAAAGTTATTAATATTTTAATTAAAATAAGTAATATTTAGGTGTTAAAATGGATATAATTTTAAAATTTTTGTCTTTGAAAAAATATAATAATTAATTAATATCTAAAATTAGTTGAAGTATTTTTTTAGAGAATTTTTCCTAATAGATATTATCAAAATGACCCTTGAAAAAGTAGTGGGCTTTTGCTAAACTCCTCAACAGCATTTCAATTCCCAGTCCCATTAGCATATAAATAAAACTAGGTGTTTTGACCGCACATGCGGGTTTAATTTTCTTACGAATATTTATTATTTTTTGTTTTATTAATTCTAAAATAATATTATAAGTTGTTTTCTATAGTTTTAGAAAACCTAATTCAGACATTAAAATATTTTTATATGTATATATATTTAGATTATGGCTAATTATTATATTTATTATTAATTTAAATCATTTATCTAATCAAATAAGTTTAATTATCTTTAAATTAATTTAAAAAACATCAAAATAAATAATTATTTGCATCCAAAAAATTCGACCTAAAACATTAAATTTTTGTTACATGATAAAGTTATTTACAAACTAATTTTTCATTTGAACGTGTGAGTTCAGAGGCGAAAAATAATTTCACAAATATATATCATTATATTCTTTTAATTTGAAAATAGTTACGTATTAGAAATTTTCAATTTTCTTTTTTGAACTATATACAATTAAAAATTTTACTTTATAAATATTTATTTATGTGTTTTCAGTTTTTGATTTTTTTTAATTAAAATATATTTTCCAGATAACAACACAATATCTATATAAGAATTATCTTTTTATTTTTAAATATATATTTAGATTATGAAAAATCACTTCGCAAATAATAATATAGATCTTCAAACTCTCGATATTGTTCTTCTGGGTCGCATCCTGAATCGCCATGGGGATCACGTCATCCATCCAATTTCCGCCGCCAAAACCGGAACAAGAGAAACCAGAAGATTATAGTGATTTGCCATATCCGGTGATGGCTCAGGAAGAATTGTTGATGAAGAAACTCAATGGCTTGTTCCCATCGAGAGAGGGAGAATCATCAACTGATGAAGCCATAGAAGCTAGGTATTTCGAGTTCATGAGAGGAGGTGGTTGCAAAGATCTTGTTAACGCTCTGGAACGTTGTGAAGGACCTCGTACCACTAAGTGTAAGGAGATCGCGGGGATGTTGTTCAATTGTATGTATTCTTACCCTGATTACTATCAACCGGTTATCGCTATGTGGGAAACTTCTTTCAAACAGTTAGCCAAGGATCTCGACGTCTTTCATGCAAAGAAACAAAGAGAGGAGAGCTTTGAGAAAGCTAATCTCTTTAAGGGCTTTAAGAGGTTCTAAGGGTTTTTTTTTTCTTAAATATATTGGATTTGAATAGTAGTTAGTATTAATAGTTGCTTTGTTAGATTAGTTAATGAGTTTTTTTTTTTTCATAGGATTGGAGAACTAATTTGACAATAATTTTGTTGATGCCTCACTTGAATTTGATATGTTGCTTCTAAACCGTTATTAATGATTTACATGTTTTTCACTTTGTGATCTATACTAGAATTTGTTTTCCCACTTCAGTTTGAGAATGACCAACCCAATGATGAAAATTATTTCATATCACTGTCTATATGAGAATGTAGCAGCCAAAGGTGCTCATGCGTTTGTATTGAAGGGCCTTTTAGTAGTGTTCATATGTTGTAACTTGTGAGGACCAATTGCTCTGAACTTGGTGATGGTCTTAAAGATGGTTTTGATCGTTTGGGTTCACCATCACTTGTCTAATAGGTTCCTTGGAATTGGTTGCATTCGTGTCCGGTTTTGAGGATTATACTAAAGCACGCACCTGGTGACCCAAAAAATGAAAAGTTCCATAAATTTGACAGTACACAGAATGATGTATCGATATAACTGAGCTTACCATTTCAAGTCGCTTCTTGGTGGAAATCAGTTGGTACCTGAAAAATTGTTAACTTGAGATCAGTATCTAGTAGACGCATTTTCTTTCTTTTTTGTTTGTTTGTTCTGCAAGTAATCTTGGAATCAGCACATTCATGAAAATCGTTAATGGTTTTTGATTGGTGTTTACCCTCACTCGAGAATAGGAACTGTCAGGTGCAAGTTTTTTTTCTGCTTAATTTATAACCCAGCGAACAGAAAATGAGTAACATCAATATAAACTACTAATCATGATCCACAGGAAATAGAGCTCAAGATGTACAAACCTAGGTGTAATAACCGTGGATGATTTACGATGCTTATCCAAGCTGATAAAGTGAGAGAAAAATTATGTTGTACTATAATAATGTCAACACTTCAAAGAAGTCTGATGTAACTAAACATATTCAATATGTTTAATTTCCAAAAAAAAAACAAAAACTAAACATGTTCAATATTTTTTCAATTTGATTTTTTCCTCTGTTATCAAATCCTGCATGAATACAAAATCCACAATGCTGAGGTACGAGGTTCTAACTTTAATATTGTGTCAGTTCAGTCTCAGACAAGCTTTTCATGTCTTGTTTGGTGTTACAAATAGAATTCTGAAACATTTCAGACATTGCAAGTTTTTGGTAGTTTTGACTTCGCTTATGATGTCATCGAAGGCAACCGCAAATATATTAAGTGTGTTTATGTCTACAACAAAAATTGATGTTGTTGGAATTGGTGATGTGGATAGACTAGCACCCCAGCCAAATTCCATTGTTATTAGCTGCAATCTAAAGGCAAGTTAATCACATTAATCAGACCACTCTTTTGGTCTAAAACGTCAATTCTATCCTGTTTTAGTTTCCTTGTGCATTCTGACTCCTCACTGGTCTAACGGTGAATGACTGTTGCTTGAAACAGCTGAACTTAGACAGACTACTTGCAAGGATGTGGGACGAAATGGACCTTTTGTGAGAGTTTACTCGAAGTCTTAAGGCCAGCAACCAGAGTTCGATGAGTCTTTTGTCCTCTCATCTATAAGTGTATTTATTTTTCCATCAACATAGACTAATGACTCAAGTCTATATAATATAGTCTTTGTAGACGGAGAGAAGAAAGCTCCTCTTAAGCAATAAACTCAGCTGATGAGTGATCCCCAGACAAACTTCTTCACCATCGTTACTCATGGATGGTTTCAGCTGAGAAAGATGTACCGTGCTGTATCTGAATCGTTGTTGTCTTCGCTCACAATATAAGTTTTTGAATAATACAATAAGTTCCCATGTACCCTTTTTCACAAAATTATGTTTTTGATTTTTGACTAGGCTGCCTAGAGAAATTAAATGGGAAAATCGCATAAAAAACCTTCAAGGTGGCAACCACTTACACTTTAAACCCTGAGAGTATTTTACAAGCACTTTAAACACTCAAATTGGCAAATTTAGCATATTAAACCTCCAATCTGGCTTACTTGTACATCAAGTTAAAAATGTGACCGGTACTGTTCAAAAGTGATGACGTGTCGG